CCCCAAAACCCCAAAACCCCAAAACCCCAAGCAATTATTTTTTAAGAATTTGTTGTTCATTAATAATTAAATTTTAGCTGTTTATTATTGATCAAAAATGAGGCCTCAAAACTATAGAATACCAAATCAAGGAAGATAGGATTATTAAAACTAAATGATATCAAATTCGGATAATCTTCTTGGACTTCCATAAGAATAGGCAGACAAATTACCAAACTGTCAAATTCATTATCGATTCAAAACAATATTTTTATGCGAAAATATGTGTGATGACAGAATTCTGTACTGTAGGGAGTGCTCATTGTTAACAGTACCAGGAACTAATATTAATATCCATAATCATCCCCCAATATACGTTGCAGATGCATGCACAAAAATTGCTTACCAATCCTAATAAGGCAAAGAAAAAGCATAAGAGCTAGTTTCAAAAGCAAATGAGTTTTTTAACACTTATAAAATTGTACTTGAATGGCTAGATAATAAATTAAGAGGTAATGGAGGTGATAATTTGTTTAATCCTCAAAATTATTTCCATGGCTAAAATCAGTCAATGATGCATGATTTCAATATGCTCACTGAATTGTTGGAAAAGATTAACCAGACCAATGAATACATTGAGTCGAAAGCAATAGAGCTTAAAATTATTGATATAATTAATAAAAAGAATCTGGTAAATTGCCAATCAGAAGATGTTAAAAAATACTAATATCTAGGAAATGTAACTTTTGATGAAGTCTGGCAGTAATACTATTCACTTTTCTTTCAAGATTAATAGTTCAATCTTAATATTAATCAGCTAGACCTAGATAATTTCAAACTACTGACTTATTTAAAAGAGAAAATATCGGCTTAAAAGATTGAATTTTTAGAGGAAAGAGTTAAAACAATGGAACGAATGTTAACTACTAAATTTGAAAAATTAAATTCGATATTAGAGAATCAATTCGGTTTAGACAAGATAGATTGAGCTTTCACAAACTAGAGGAAAAAGGCATATTGATATTAACGAACTGATATTAAACCAAAATCAAAGTGAGTGCTATTTAATATTCAAAGGCTATTTATATATTTTGATATTTCATAGGATAAATGATTATAGTTTAAGTCTTATTTAACCCAAGATAATTTGGATCTTTACATTAGGGGTTTTGGGGTTTTGGGGTTTTGGGG